TTTAACTTCATAACTTCATTGATACATATTTCTTCCTAACATTATAGCAGACCTATTCTGCAAAAATGACTTTCCAGACCATTTAACTATGTTATATTTTCTCCTCGCCATTTAGGAATTTGAATTGTATTGTATTGTTGTATTTGTAGTCATTCGTGACAGAATAAAGTAAATCAATGCTTCCAATTGTGTATATGACCATAAGTTGTTTGGTGTCCTTTAATGACTATGATAAATGGGCTGTAAAAAATATAAGAGGGTGCGTGGACCTTGAACTCACATCACCCGTGAAGAAAATAACAAGTGCGGCATCTTTACCTCTATCCTACGTTAACATATCAATCAGTTCAGCACGTATATCTCTCATGCTCGTTACGGTCACATTGGAAGCATGTTAACTTGTGAAAGTCACGCTTAAAATCAGACAAGTTAGCACTGTTTTTAAAAGTGTGAGTGCGTCCTTTACCATGTGCCTCGTGTGCACACTACAGCACTGAACTAAAGTCTGCAGAAGGGTGCAAGATGGTGTTCTAAAGGCTACAACGCAAACTTCGCTTGCACAGCGTAGGCACATAGAACGCTAATTCAGAGCCAAAACGCTAAGAAGCTAGAACATATGTCCATTCATATAAATGGATATGCATATACGCAAAGACCGCATAATCTCTGAAAATTTTAACATGAACTATCTCCAACGCAATAGAAAAGCAGAAAAAACTTACCATAAGCTGAACACCCCTCTGTCACAGAAAGAACACTTATAACCCACTGAGCAGTGTCCATTAGTCCAACAGAAGCTGAACGGCATCAGTGCACAATAGCGAGCTGATTTTTGAGTGCATAGCTTATGCCATGCGGTTTTAAGTTTCGTTTCTGTAAAATGTAAACAAATATGCTCAAAGCTGTGTGGATAGGGAAGGCTTGCAGACACAGAAACGAGTCAGTTCTCTCTGAGGACTGAAGACTGACTACACTAAGTAACAACTGAACCTTATCGTCGGTCCACGAAAAGACCGTTTTCACACTTGCCATCTCCCTCAGCTCAAAATCAGCTGCTGCTACTTCAGACTTCCTTGTTTTTACTGCTCACGTGCCGTGCTCACATGCTATTGTAGCCACAGCTGCCCTGGGTCAGACTGACAGAAGCGAGGCTGTCTATCTGCACCATCGGCCC